CAGAGAGTCATCTACCTCTAAGTTGAATTGAATTATGCATCAAACTGCAGGGGTACAAGGCAGGTTTCTCAATCAGCCACATGACAGCACAGAAGAGAAGCTCACTGTATGTACAAGGGCATCAGAGGACGTGATCAAGAGAGTGAAAAGACAACCTACAGGATGAGTGGAAATATTTGCATATCTTATAATTGGTAAGGGTTTAATATCCAGAATATATAAAGAGCTCCTACAATTCAATAACAAAAAGACAAACAACCCACAAAAAAATGGGCAAAGAAATTGAGTATATTACAAAGACTATATACAAATAGCCAATAAACACATGAAAAGATGCTCAACATCATTAATCATTAGGCAAATGCAAATCAAAACCACAATGAGATGCCATTTCACAACTACTACGATGGCTGTCACACACACAAAAAAGCAAAACTAACAAGTGTTAGTGAGGATTGAAGAAATAGAAACCCTCCTACACCGCTGGAGGGAATATAGAAAGGTGCTGTGGCTGTGGAAAACACTTTGGTGGCTCTTCAAAAAGTTAAAGATATGATCCAGCTATTCTGCTTCTGCGTATATACCCAAAATAATTGAAAACAGGACAAACAGACACTTGCATGCAAATTTTCATTGCAGCTTTAATCACAACAGCCAAAAAGGGGAAATAGCTCAAGTGTCCATTGAATGAATGGATAAAGAAAATGCGGTCTCACATGCAATGGGATGTTATTCAGCCATAAAAAGGAATGAAGTTCTGATACCTTGAACCCTGAAAACATGTAAAGTGAAATGTGCCAGACACAAAAGGACAAATATTGTGTGATTTCGCTCCTGTGAAGTATCTAGAATAGTCAGATTCATAGAAACAGAATGTAGAACAGAGGTTACCCCGGGCTGGCGTTGGGGGAGGGAAATGGAGAGTTATTGCCTAATCAATACACAGTTTCTGTTTGCGGATGAAAAAAAGAGTTTTAGGAGTAGATAGTGGGGCCTTCCTGGTGGTGCAGTGGTTAAGAATCGCCTGCCAATGCGGAGGACATGGGTTTGAGCCCTGGTCCGGCAAGATCCCACGTGCTGCGGAGCAACTAAGCCCGTGCACCACAACTACTGAGCCCGTGCGCTACAACTACTGAAGCCTGCACGTCTAGAGCCCGTGCTCTGCAGCAAGAGAAGCTCCCGCAATGAGAAGCCTGCGCACCACAATGAAGAGTAGCCCCCGCTTGCTGCAGCTAGAGAAAAGCCCGCGCGCAGCAACGAAGACCCAACGCAGCTCAAAATAAATAAATAAATAAATACAATTTAAAAAAAAATAGTAGTGATGGTTGCCCAACATGCGGGATGGACTTTAATGCCACTGATTTTTATGCTTAAAAATGATTAAAACGTTATGTCTATTTAACCTCAATTAAAAAAACAAAAAGATGAACTCCTCACCTACCCCGACCCATACCTGTTTCTCCAAACAGGTCAATCCAAGAATCTTGGAGCAGTCTTTGATTTTTCTTTTACTCTCAGACCCTCCATCTGATGTGTGGGCAATTCCTGTCGGCTCTACTTTCAAAATATACCCAGAGGCTGACCTCCACAGGTCCCGGCACCAGGTCACCAGCATCTCAAGCCTGGATTACTGCAAGAGTCCCCGGACCAGCTTCTGTCCTTCCCCACTCAGCCTGTTCTCCAAAGCAGCCAGAGGGATCCTGCCCAAACCTTGGTCAGCTCCAGACCCTTCCAGCAGCTCCCATGTCACCCAGCCCAGTGGCCAGGGGCACATCACAATCTGGACTGCCTCTCCCACTCCCTCCAGACTCCGTGAGCCCACGGGCATGTTTCGGGCACTTCAGGTGTGAGGCTTTGCACTGGCTGTTCCCTCTGTCCCGAGTGCTGTTCCTTCAGGTGTGCGTTCCCAGGCTGCCCATCAATGAAGGCTTCCCTGGCACACACTATTTAAAATCGCCCCCTATTCTATTCAGCTTTTCTTCATGAGACACATCACCAGCCAACATATGACATATTGAATTCTCCTACGTGGTCAAAAATGTTTCATGAGGGCCGGGCCTGCGTCTGCTTTGTTCCCTGCTGTGTCCCAAGCCCCGAGGACGCAGTGCCAGGCTACCTGTAGCTGTTTGTTGAAGAGGTTAGGGAAAGTTTCGGGAGGGACAGCTCTCCCGTCCTCTCTGAGCGGGTAGCATAGCGTGGTGACGATGCACAGCCAGACCGCCTGGGATTCAGATCCTGCATCTGTCATTTATCAGCTGTTTGACCTTGAGTAATCTCTCCATGTCTTAGTTTTCTCATCCATAAATGGGGAGATGGTGGTGTGCATCTCATAAAGTAGGTGAGGCTCACATGTGACAACGCCCAGCACACAGTGAACTGCTCAACCAACAGCCATCTTTACCCACCAGCCCTCCCTTCCTCTCTCCACGCCCAGGGTGCCATCAGTGTAGAGAGGCACCTAGGCTAGTTTCCAAGAGGAGGGGACTCCCCGGCAGGGTTTTGGGGGATGAACAGGAGTGAGCCAGGCAGACGTGTCCTGGAGAAGGGGTGCCCACCCCCACCTCGTCCTAATCCTACCTGCCCTTGCGGGAGGTGCTGACCACAGGCTTATGAATAAATAGCTTATTAATAAATAACGAGGGAGCTTCTAAAGAAGGCAGAGAGGGAGGTGGCATCTGTAACAATCGATTGCTCCGGGGAAGCAAGAATGAGCCGGTCCTGGGATAAGTCTCAGAACATCCGGTAGGACTTCACATCTGGGTCTGTGAACTGAAGCTTGTAGCGATGAAGATGGAGAGGGGCATTAACAGGGGATGACAGCAGTGGGGGCGGTACTCATGCACAGAGCGGAGCCCCTCCAGCAGAAAGGCTATACACTCAAGTCATCTTCACAAACCCTCTGGGTTGGCAGCTAAGGTACAGAGTGGTTGAGTAAGTTGGGCAAGGTCACACAGAGCTGCAGGCAGCAAAGCTGGGATTTAGAATTGGGTTCTCCACAGCTGAACCCCCCTGCGAGGACGTCCCCTCTCAGGGCCTCAGTGCCTGGCATGGAGACAAAGCAGAGGACTAAGGTCCCTTTCTATCCTCCACCTCCCCGGCTTTACTACTTCCTATTTACCTGCGAGCGCCGATGCAGCCTCTGGGTCTTAATTACACCGAATGAGCTAGACAGTAGTGTCATGCTGTCAGTTTGCCCACATTTCTGGCATGCCAGCTGTGGTGGAACAGTATGCCCAGTGGCAAACCCAGGAATGGAGGCTGGGGCACTGGTCCTGGGGTCTTAGACCTGTCACTGCTAAAGCCCAGAGCAGGAGAAAGGGGGCGAGACCCCTGCCCACCACACAGAGTGGAGATGCAGGTGAAGGGAGCAGCAGGTCTGCTCTAGGAGTGGAGTCTGTCCATCATTACGGCTCAGACCTGATGGATCAGACCCTCCGTTAGGGAAAGCCTCCCCGATCCTCACATCGGAGATATGGCCTGCCCCCCCCTCCCAATTTAGAGGCTCTCAAAACCAAAGAGCAAGCCCCCAGCTAGTACATTCTAGTGTGCAGGAATCCGTTTCAGCGGCATCAATGGCTGATTCTGCTTGGGGTGGGGTAAGGGAGAGCCAGAAGCCTCCTGGGAGCTGGACCCGACATCCTGGGCTCCACTCTTGGTAGCCGCATGTACTAACTGTGTGGTCTCAGTTTCTTTGTCTGCACAATGGGCAAGGTTCCGCTCCCAGCTTACAGGGTTGGGCTGAGGATGAAACGGGTGAAGTGCTTAATTCCGTGCCCAGCGGGAGGCAAGGGCTTGGTTAGATGCTCAGAGATGCTGAGTTTGGGGTTCCTGTGCCCAGCTGGTTCCAGAACTCATCCTGTCCACACGGGAGCTGGAAGAAGCCACTCGTGCAAGCAGGCCAGTGTGCCCAGAACCGTTCTGGCTGACTTCTCAAGCCTGTCCCTTCCTTCCTGTTCCTAGGTCTGGCCTCCCCCCTCTGGCTGGCAGTGCCCCCTCTCTCTTCCTCCTGGGAAGAATCTGATGAGTATACAGTGTCATTTCTAGAAAGAAGCCAAATTGGGGCTCTTTAAGAAGCAGACATCAGGATAAGTTGCTCCATGGGAATCCAGCCCACCCTCACCAAAAGAGATGGGGGCATGGGGGGGGGGAGGAGGGAGGAGCAAGGGAAAAGAAGCAGTGCTCCGTGCTATAGTTAGCGGCTCCTGGTTCCAGGTGGCTCTGATTGCAGGGCACAGCATCCTAACCAGGGCGCTCCCGGCTGGAACTCAGCTGTATAATTAAATAAGGCCGAGTGCCCGCTCTAGCCCCTTGTCACTGTCCCGCTCTGAGGTTTTATTTAATAACCTCTGAGCTGGGAGGGGAAAAATCATTCAGGAAACATTGCTTGGGTCATTTATTTTAAAATTATTGGTATAAAAATAGCCAGGGTCGTGATTTATGTGCAGGGAGGGGCCAAGGAAGCCAGGGACTCCCCCTCCCAACTCCTGTCCAAGCCTCGTTTGTCCCCCCCAAGTTCCACCGCAGTTTCCATCATGACTTCAAGTCAGAGTAGTCACTTTACATCGCAAATAAATCTCTAGAATAGCACGGAAATATTATGTGTATTAATAGCGCCTGTGAAAACATCCGAAAACCTTCCATCTGCCGAGGGCCTCGGACGCGCACGGCTGGAGATGCTCTCCCAGGAATTGAAAACCGCACGGCAGGCCTGGCATTTGCCCGCCAGGGGGCCACTGCCTCCCCCAGCCCCGCCCGGCCCGCGGTCCAGCTGTCCGCCGTCAGTTTGTCTGTGAGTGCCCCCAGTGACCTGCGGCCGACAAAGTCAGCCCCCCCCACAAAACCTCGCCGGGGACGGTCCCCGCCACCGGAGACGCGGGTCCTTGTCGCCTGCCCCTTGAGTGCCCCTTGGTCCCGGGGAAGCCGCTGTCCCCGAACGTCCCCGACGCCGCTGCCGCCACGCCCGGGGCCCTCGCCCCCCTGCGCCGCCCCTGGATACTCACCAGCTGCGGGGGCTTCCTTGGGGGGCAGCCCCTCGAGGCCGATGTCGCCCTCCAGCATGGCGTGGCTCGCTGCCCGGCTCCGGTGCGCCCCGGACGCACGGGGTCCAGGAAAGGGGGTGATGAAGTCACCCCCAGAGGTCTGCAGTGACTCTGAGGGCCGGGGTCCGAGCCCAACTCGGGAGGGGACGGTCCCCCTTCGCCTCCCCAGACGCAGCACGCGAAGCCGCAAGTGCAGGAGCCAAACTTGACCGCCCACGCGCACCGCCGCGCCGCTCCGCCCCCTCGGCTTTTTGGGCTGGGGGTCCTGGCCGGCTCCCCGCCACCGCCCCCCCGGGGCTACCTGCGGACACCGCCCTCGCCCCGCCCCGTGCGCAGCGCGACTCCCCCGCGGCCACCCGGACACCGAGCGATGGCGCGGGACGCTGGAGGCCAGCCGCAGCGATCGGCCCGCGGGTCCCGCCCGCCCCCGGCCTCCCGCTCTGCGCTCTGCGGGGCGAGTCTCCACCAGCTGCCGGACCGTCTTATCAGTCGGGGCGAACAGTGGGGCCCTGAGCGGCTGTGCTTGACGGGTCCCCAGCCAGGGCCCCAGGGAAGGGGTGCTGACTGGGGGGAGGGGGCAGCGATCCAGCCCCGAGAGGCTGGCACAGCATAGGGCGTCAGTGGAGAGTGCACAGGTCCCTCCCCCAGGCGGGACCCCAATTCATCACTCTGAATTTGTCAGAAGAGGGAGGAAGTGAAGCCCAGGGATGGGAAGGAGATCTGGAGGTTACAGGGCAAGTGCCTGGCCTGAACTTGAACACCAACCTATGCAGAACTTGGGAATCTGGATAAAGTGAGAACTCCCCCCAAATCGGAGAAAACTGTGTTATTTGAGGATTCTAATTAAGCGAGGCTAAGAGAACTCAGCCAGGGGTGCTGGCAGGGACTTCCCACCCACATCCTGCAGCCTGGCTCAGGGCTGGGAGCCGGGAGGTACCACTCTGCAGCCCTGTTCCTGTTTAGAAGGCAAGGTCTGGACAATTCAGCACCCTCCCGGGCAGCAGAGATGTGGGCATCAGGAGAGTGCGGAGAGCCTTAGGCAAGGCGCCTCCTGTCTCTCCAAACCTCACACCCGTGACACCTCCAGGTAAATAACTATAAATTCTGAGGCAGAACTGCCTTAAACAAAACGTTAATTTAAGCTGCTCCCTGATCACTGCACGGGCAGTGGCAGGACGGGGCAGCCTGCCTGACCTTTTGAAAGGCCATCTCCCACTTTCCACACCCTGAGGAAGAGCCAGGCTGGTGCCGGGAGCCCACCTGGTCCGGGGACCCTTGGATCACCTGCCAAGTAAACACCCCACGAGCCCCCGGCTTTGCCTGGCTCCGGGTGGAGACACATCCAGCCACCCTGGGGAGACAGACCACATCCACGTGAAAGGAATCTATGCTTTCACGCATAGAGGATGGATGACCAGTCCTCCCTGACCCCTGCCAAGCCTGCTGGCATTGGTACCCACGCGTACTCTTCTGGGCGGAAACGCTTGTAGTAGCAGCGAAACCACAAAGAAATGTCTCCAGCTGGGACGTTCTTCCCTGCCCCCCACCCAAAGTGCTGTGTACAGAGAGGAGATTCAAGCCTCCTTCTTCCCAAAGGGTCAGGGAGAGAGGTGACCTGCAATCGTCCTTTGTATTTATCTCGTTTCAGTCTGGACTAAAAAATTGGAAGACGAGGCACCTGGTGGGGTGCTGTGGATGGATGAAGTCTCATCCCGTGAAGAGGCTGCCAAGAAGCCCCAAGTTGTGTGCTGCGTACCCCACATGTAAACCTAGGATGGCCGAGGGGTCTGGATGGAGAAAAAGCACCGTAGGGGCCCTTGCTGGGGCCATGTGCATTTCGCAGAGCCTAGTCATCTGACCCAGACCATTGGTGTGCGGGAGTCCAGACACAAACTCATTTTTCTTGGAAGAGTCTGATAGCCAACGTGATACATAGCAATAGCTCAGTTGTGTAAATACACAGAGAAAATTTTAGAATTCTAACCTCTGGAATGATGAACTATAAACCAAAAATGCTCAGGAGGAAAAAAATGTAAATAAGTCTTGGGGCTATTTTTAACCATCATTGTTTACCTTTTGGGGGCAGAGATGGGCTATTGTCTAGTTAGCCAGCTTCTAAAGGCAGACTATTTAATGTATTATTATTAGCAGAAATATTTTAAACCGCCGTTAATAGATGTTGATTCGTTCCGATTGAAGCCATTTTTCTTCTTTTCATTTCTTGGCTCCAATTAAGCTGCATTCTGATGAAACCCTTCAGCTGTGTCCAACATATGCGGAAGAGCCGGTCAGAGATCCAGACCCTTTTACAAAGATATTTCATCCTATCAAGTTTTAAAAGATGTTTTAGTAAATACCCGAACTGGCGCCTTCTTACAAAGATTGCTTTCGGCTTTGGTAAATGCTGCCAGGCTGGGGCGAGACCGGGCTCCCGTGTGGCGTGAAAGGGGAGCGAGTGCCCTAGAAGAACGGATGCCTGGGGCCCCTGCTCGTTTGCCAGGGAGCCCCCTGTGCAGTCAGGAAGATGTTTCTGTCAAAAGCAGAGTGGGGCAAGTGGACTGTCCTGGGGAGGGGCACGCCTGCCCCCGCCGGAGCCATCGTTACCGGATACAGGAATCATGCCGCACAATGCTTATAATTATGGAAAATGGTTTCCCTTTTCGGCAAAGCGGGGAGGGAGGGAGGGAGGAAAGGCAGCTCGCAGCAAAGCTGGGGCCAGCACTCAGGCCCTAGGGTTGGTTTAAAATAGGCTTTGCAGGGTGAGGCCGGGGCCCTGCTGGGACAGGCTCAACCCTCCCCAGGCCTTATCAGACAGGACTGAAGGCCACCAAGTAACAGCATTTGGGTCTCCGCTGCCCCCAAATGCCGCTCAGGAGTGGGTCAGAGGCCAGAGCTGACTTGACAAGCGTTGTCACAGGGCCTAAGACCACCCGCCTCTGCAGACCCCTCCGTGTATCACCTGCAGTCACTCATGCCCCTCGGAGAGACCGGGAGACGCCCAAATTGTCACATACACCCTGCCCCCACTGTCACTCATTCTCAGAACACGTCCGGGGTCACGGGTCACTTGAATACTCACTTCTGGTAGTCTCGGGAAGTGTGTTTTGATTTCGATCTGGTTCTCTGAGCATCCCTCGCCATGGGTAGGGCCCCTTCTCAGGCTTGGCAGGGGATGAACCCCCCGCCCCCCAGAGCCGGTGTACAGCCGGAGGAGATAAGCAAGGTGGCGGAGGAGTTAAGCCCGGGGCCTCTCGGGGGAAATGGAAAGGGGCTGGCACCCAGTCGTGGACAAGTTGCTTCTCGGCACCTCGGTTTGTGCATCTGTAAAAAGGGCCTCAGCAGTAGCTACCTCTGGAGGTTTGGGGAAGCTGGAAAGAGAATCCAACTTCCAGCCCAGAACCTGGCGCGTTGTAAGCCCTGGATTAGAGGGTCTTGTTATTTGTATCATCCTCAGATGAGGCGGGCGGGGACATGTGGCGGACCCTGAAAGGCAGGGGAGGACGCTCCTGACTGGGCAGCTCAGAGCCGGCAGTGGCCCCTGACCTGGGGACCATGGCGGGGGGTGCGGGGCAGTTGGAACAGGCCAGCTTGGCAGTGATGGGTCGGGTGAGGGATGAATGTGAAGGCAGGGCCGGGCACACTGTGGGTCCCAGGCGGCTGCACTGAGCAGGATCGAGCAGGTGTTTTTGCAAAAAAAAAAGAAAAAATAGTATCAGGGTGAATTTCACATAACATAAAGTTAACCATTTTAAAGTAACAATTCAGTGGCATTTGGTACATTCCTGGTGTTGTACAACCATCGTCACTGTGTACTTCGAGAACATTTCCATCACTCTGGGTAAAACCTAGGACCCTGTAGCTGTCACTCCCTGTCCCCCACCACCAGCCCCTGGTAACCACCAATCTGCTTTCTGTCTCTTGTGGATTTATCTCTTATAGTTCATATAAATGGAATAATACAACATGTGGTCTTTTGTGTCCCGTTCCTTTCACAGTGGTTTTCTTTTTTCGTAATTTTCTTTTTTCATAATTCATAATGTGTTTGAGGCTCATCCACGGTATAGCACGTTTCAGAGCTTCATTTCTTTTTTGTGATTGAATGATATTCCGTGGTCTGGCTGTGCCACGTTTCTTTATCCATTCATCCATTGATGGACCTTTGGACTGTTTCCAAGGTGTCTTTGGAAAGGACCTAAGGGGTCTCACTAAGGTGCCTGCAGGGGCTGGGGAGGGTCCCACTATGACACAGGGCCCCGGGCAAGGCTGGGCAGAGAGCTCAGTGGCTATGAGAAGAGGGGGGTGGAGGGGGAGGGGGAGGGGGAGGGGGAGGGGGCAGGGGGACTAGAGAGCATACGGTGAGCTGGGGAGAGACCAGTCAAGCCTTCTCTGCAGCTGGAGACTGGAGGCAGCTGCTTGCCGCTGATACCAGGGGCTCCTGACGGGGGCACGCAGTTGCTAGAGTGAGCCTGGGCCCCGGCACTGATGCAGGGGACCTACAGCTGAAGCGAGTCTATCTCTGAGAGCTTAACCTGCAGAGGGGCCTGCTGAAGAGGCAGCCACTGGGTGCCTCCCCTCGGGAGTCTATTTCACAAGCACTTACCGTGTGCCAGGCCCTGTTCCAGGCACTCCATAAATATCAGCTCTATGCCATCCATTCTGTTATCGTTCCCACTTTACAGATGAGGAAACCGAGACTCAGAGAGGTGCAGTCACTTGTCCGAGGTCACACAGCGGTAAGCATAGCGCTGGGACTCGAGCTCAGGCAGCCTGACTCCAGAGTCTGTGCCGGAACTGATGTGCTCTAAGGTAGAAATCCAGTTTCCTAAACACCGGTCATCCAGAGTCCCACATCCTGGTTTGAGCCTGAGCAGTGATCCCCTGGGCTATGGTTTGCTTCATATTTTCCTTTAATCCAGCTCACTTTTTCAAACTTTTGGGGACTGTTTTTATTGTTTAATTGTGGTAAAACATACATAACATAAAATTTACCATTTTAGCCATTTTTAGGTGTACAGTTCTTTGGCATTCAGTACATTCATAATGTTATGTAACCGTCATCCATCCACAGAATTCTTTTCATCTTCCCCAACTAAGTTCTGTCCCCATTAAACACTCACTCCCCATCCCCTTCCCGCAGTCCCTGGCGCCCACCGTCCTACTTCCGGTCTCTATGGATCTGACTCCTCTGGGGACCTCATACGAGTGGGATCATATAG